TGTACATTTTTCTTCTGTCAATTACTGACATATTGTGCCCAAAATACACACACACACACACACACACACACACACACACACACACACATTATTGTTTTCACTTGTGTGTGTGTTTCTGTAATATAATGTGTTCCTCATGCATCCTGTGGTGAACATGCAGGAACAATGTGGACATTTGATAGAATTCTATAGTCTGGGTTCTCTGCTGGTCTGGTCTATGAAGTGAATGAGCTCTGTGTGTGTGTGTGTGTGTGTGTGTGTGTGTGTGTGTGTGTGTGTTAGAGTTCTTCTCTCCTGCTTCAATACCAGGTTAAAGGAACTTCAGTGAAAACCAGGAATGAAGGCTAATGTGGCTAAATAACGCAGTTACAGCCTCCGCTTTCGCATGATGCGAACTAAACTACGTCGAAATCTCATGTCCAAGTTTTCATTCCGACCGCTTACAGTTTTCACCTGCGTTTTAATTATTATGCTGCTTGTAGTCTTTGGTCTAAAACTACGTTTTGAGCGAAATGAAGTTAAAACTTTTTACCGGAGTGAGGAGTGTGAATAAATCTGGACGGATCTGCCAACGCTTACGAGGAATCATGCATCGTCCTGCCGAGGAGGAGAGAGGGAGCGAGGGAGACAAACAAAATAGGCACTTTGACACTTCGATTCATCTTTTTTTTCCTGTCCAAATGTCTTTTTTTCAGTGGCATCCCTAATAAATCTATTTAATTAATGTTAATTAGAAAGAAATATAGATAGAAATTTGGTGTTTTACCAAAATATTATTTTATTATATCAGCTTTTATTATCATGATATACCGAAATATCGATATACTGTAACACCCATAATGATTACTTTATATATCACCTTTACCACAAAAGAAGCTGAACTTGTATATATGTGTGTGTGTGTGTGTGTGTGTGTGTAGAACATGTTAGAACAGGATTCTGAGCTGCCCACCAAATAAAATATGATCTGCTCTGGCACATTCTGCATTCCAGTGACTATTCTCTGCCTAGAGGTACATTCACACACACACACACACACACTCACACACACACACACACACACACACACAGGTTAATGTAGGTTAGCATACCATAGCGTCCTGACATTTATCCTCTGCAACTTCAACAAGAAGAGACAAAAGGAACCAAAAGAACTCAGACGAGTTGATCGGTCACCATGACGACAGTAAAGGTGACCTCATTGTCATGGTACAAAAACTTCTTTGTTAAGTCCAAAGTGGAAGAAGTGTGTTTGGTAACCAGTTTATATCTGCAGCAACCACATTCAAACATTTTTTACATTTATTTAATGATAATTAACACACATTTGAATTGTAGATGATTTCTGATTTAAACATATACAAATCTAAATAAAAGATACAAAGATATAAATAATCTGATAATAAAAAAGTGCATATGTTTAGAAAATAAATAACAGTATCTCTGTTCCTTTTGCACTGGGTTTTATGCATGACCAATCAGCAGCAAGCACTGCTGCTAACTCCGCCCCCGAGTAACATCACCAAAAAACTCCTGAAAGTTAAGAAACTGGACAAGCTGCTGGGAAAAGTGTCGCTTTTCCGGTTCCAGGTGTGTTTATGTGGCTGTGGAAAAAAACAAAAAAAAACAAGATTCACTCTGTGCATGTGTGTGTGTGTGTGTGTGTGTGTGTGTGTGTGTGATTGATGCGGGCTCTGTGGTTAAAGTGAGGTGTGGCTGACAGGCCCCTAGAGGGAGAGAGAGAGACAGCTGTGGTAAGTGGAAGATTAAATAAGCAATTAGATACAGAAAGATGAAAAGAGAGAGAGAGAGAGAGAGAGAGAGAGAGGAGGAGAAGAGGAGAAAGTGGGGACTTAAATAATTAATTAAGGAAAAATTAAGAGAGAGAGAGAGAGAGAGAGAGAGAGAGAGAGAGCCATTAAATATAACACAGGTGAAAAGTCTGGCATTTCTCTCACTCTCTTTCTGTCTCTCTCTCTCTCTCTCTCTCTCTCTCTCTGTCTTTCTGTCTTTCTCTTGCTTTCTCTGGGTCCCACTCTCTCTTTCTGTCTCTCTCTCTCTGAGTCTGACTCTCTTGTTCAGTCTTTCTCTCTCTCTCTCTCTCTCTCTCTCTCTCTCTGTATGACTAGCAGCAATTCTCTAGAATTCCACACATATCTCCAGAAGCTCTGCACAGATGAAAAAGTTTAGGGGTGTGTGTGTGTGTGTGTGTGTGTGTGTGTGTGTAATGCTACATGACCACTGGGAGGCACCAGAACTACAATTCCATAGACAATGCTGTAATTAAACCTCCTACAACCAAACGTGTAACAAACTAGAGCATCAATTTACCAGCATTTAGAGAAATCATTTTAAGTTTCAGTTTAATCAGGAACCATAAAGCTGCTCAGTAGCAGGAGGCGAGTTTTAGAAGACGGGACGATGACAGGAAACACAGTAGAAACATAGCAACAACCCCCACTGCAAAGCTGAAGGAAAACATGGTGGTGGAGCTGCAGTTATGGAAGGTGGCGATGCTGCAGGTATGGAAGGCGGTGGAGCTGCAAGTATGGAAGGTGGTGGAGCTGCAAGTATGGAAGGTGGTGGAGCTGTAGGTAAGGAAGATGGTGGAGCTGCAGGTATGGAAGGTGGTGGAGCTGCAGGTATGGAAGATGGTGGAGCTGCAAGTTTGGAAGGTGGTGGAGCTGTAGGTATGGAAGATGGGGGAGCTGCAAGTTTGGAAGATGGTGGAGCTGCAGGTATTGAAGATGGTGGAGCTGCAAGTTTGGAAGGTGGTGGAGCTGCAAGTTTGGATGGTGGTGGAGATGGTGTTGCAAGTCTGGTAGGTGAAGCTGCACTCTCTGAAGATCTCAGTAGGTTAACGGGGTGTGTTCACTAATCCATGATAAACCATGTGACCTCCTACACACTCTCCATCTTTATCCTCTTAGGGATTCACTTTAATCCCTCCATCAGCTTTTCTCTCTCTCAGGAGACATCATGGCTGCTCCTGGACAGAAGGTGGTGTTGATCACAGGTTGTTCTTCAGGAATCGGGCTGTGTATTGCTACGCTGCTCGCTAAAGATGAACATCAGAGATATTACGGTAAGAAAAGAAAAGAGAGAGAGTTCCATTTCCATTTAAACTGCAGGTTTATATTCCACAGCGCTGCTGGATTCTGGACTCTGATTGGTCAGAAGGTGTTGGTTAATTTTCTATAACAGCAGCTCTGACAGTAGCGCAGCTGCACATCACAGGATTATATATAATTAATGCACTCGTTCTAATACACTATCGTTTCTATAGTAACAGCTCATTCACAGGGACATTTACAGCTCCACATAAACAGATAAAAATCACGGATGTGGTGAAGTTTTTTTAAGTTTAAGGACAGAGGAGTTTACGCTTCTTTGCGGTTTCTCAGTAACGTTTGCTTTGTTTGCTTTTTGTTTTGTGTAAAAGTTGTTTACATAAAAAAAATGACACGTGTGTGTGTGTGTGTGTGTGTGTGTGTGTGTGTGTAGTGATAGCTACGATGAGGGACCTGAAGAAGAAAGATCGGCTGTTGGAGGCGGTGGGCGATGCGTACGGCAAAACTCTCTCTCTCCTCACACTTGATGTGTGCAGTGATGAGTCTGTCTCAGAGTGTATCAACAGCATTAAAGGCAGACACATAGACATTCTGAGTAAGTACACACACACACACACACACACACACACACATCTAAGTGCAGTTTTTATCCAGAAGATAGGATAAACTTATTATTAATCTCATTAGGCCACCATTATTCACACTGCAGTATATTTATTCTGTGTGTGTGTGTGTGTGTGTGTGTGTGTGTGTGTGTGTGTGTAGTTAATAACGCAGGTGTGGGTCTGGTCAGCCCGGTGGAGTGTGTGTCCATGGAGGAGGTGAGGAGTGTGTTTGAGACGAACGTGTTCGGAGTGATCAGGATGATTAAAGCTGTTCTTCCGGACATGAAGAAATGCCGAGCGGGACACATCATCATCATCAGCAGCACCATGGGCCTGCAAGGTGTGTGTGTGTGTGTGTGTGTGTGTTTTTCCCTCTGATTGTATTGTTTGTGTGTGTGAGATGTTTTCTTCTCCGTGTTTGAAGGTGTGGTGTTTAACGATGTCTATGCTGCGTCTAAGTTCGCTGTGGAGGGTTTTTGTGAAAGTCTCGCTGTGCAGCTTCTCAAGTTTAATATCAGGTGAGTACTACACACACACACACACACACACACACACACACGGTTGGTTCAGTTAGCATGCTAATATCAGGTCGCAGTACATCACACGCTTTTCTAATGCCATTACACATTAGCGTTTTAATTTAACTTCTTACACAAGAACCCACATCAGTTCTAGATCACAGAACAGACAGTCGGTCTTTAATTTACGATTGTTAGCCACTGTGTGTGTGTGTGTTACTGTGGGATATTACTCAGTGGTGGCACTTCACGTTACCACTTTGGACCAGCGGCATTGGTTCTGAACAGATGAGATACACTATTTTGTAATAGAAATGGAATATAAGCGTAGACTTCTCTGTCCAATCATCATTAAATATCCTGTTTTGTTGTCAGTTTTTTTATACCAGCCAGTTCAATAATCAGATCAGAGACGGTAAATAAAACAAAAAAAAAAAATCTACAAATGTTGCTGAACTCTTTACTTCTTAGATAATGTGTAATTGGATTGAAACAGAGGATCTGATACAGAACCCAAGCTGGTTCATGTTTAGGAAACTAAATTCACTGAAATATGGACAGTTTTTTTCTTCCCACATGCTGATCATCTCTGCTCCAGTTTTTTATGTACTCAGGTCAGTCTGATGAATTAATCTTTTGGTTCTGAATCCAAATCATCAGTTTTTACAGCCAGTGTGTTAAAGCCATTATACTGTAAAGTCATTACAATTTCTTGCATGAACCGGATTATAATATGCCTGTCTCTCAGTGTATTTACGGTAGTTGTGCTACTCCAGTAGTTATGATGAAATTTCTGGCCATCATGGTCCTTGGAGGACTAGTGGTTAAGCCTTGGCGCTCTCACCGCTGTGGCCTGGGTTCGATTCCCTGCCAGGGAACCGACCCCAGCACATGACAGTACACTCCCAGCGCCGGTCCCAAGCCCGGATAAAACTGGGAGGGTTTCCTCAGGAAGGGCATCCAGCGTAAAAACTGTGCCAAATCAGATATGTGGATCAATGACCCACTGTGGTGACCCCTAACGGGAGCAGCTGAACAACAGCATTTCTGGCCATCATATGTCTGTATGGTATTAAACCTAAAATAACGCTGAACATCTCACAGATGTCTATCTTTCCTGTCTCTCTCTGTCAGTGTATCGATGATCGAGCCTGGTCCTGTCCACACTGACTTTGAGCTGAAAATGACGGAGCACATCTCTCAGAAAGACTACCCTGGACTTGATGCTGAAACACTGCACTACTTCAAGAATGTTTATCTTCCTGCATCAGTGGACGTTTTTCAAACACTTGGGCAAACACCGCAGCAGATCACCATGGTAACAGCTCCATCTCTGTCTCTCTCTTCATCCCTATCCGTCTGTTTCCCTCCATCTTCCTTAAGTCCTCTGGTCTTTGACCTGTTGAGCTCTTCAGAGTAAACTGAGCCCTAACAGTGGGGCAGGATGGAAGTCTTAGTCCTTCAGTTGTAGACAGCTTTTCATGCTTCCCCCGTTTTCCAGTGTTCATGTGGTCTAATGTGGGCCGTTTCTGAGGCTCTCTGTGATGTTCTGAGTTTCTGCAGCATCATCTGAAGCTCAGGACAAAAAAAAAATGCAGCTTGTCATGTTAGTGAGAAACTGCAAAGAAGCGTAAACTCCTCTGTCCTGAAGATGTCAGAAGTCACAGCTTTACCTCTGACTGTCACAAAGCGCTGACACTGGAGACTCCTTCCATAAATGTTACATAAATGTGAAGAAAACTGCACCATATCCACAATTACACACATTTTTAATCTGTTTATGTGGAGAATCCGCTGTGCAAGTCCCTGTGAATGTAGAAACAATAACGTATTAGAATAAGCTCATTAATTATAATCCTAGGATCTGTGAACATCTGATCTGGTCTTCAGGATCTTCTCTATCTTTTTCTAACAGCACTAGTCAGGAGCTTTCTGTGGTGTCTCACATGGTGGGGGTGGTGATGTAGTATCTCCTCTTCATGATCTTCATTACATTTGCTTCTCTCTGTGTGTTTACTTGCGTGTAGAGCACTAAGCAGGTGATTGAGACGCGGCGTCCTCGTTTCCGCACCCTCACGAACCCTCTGTACACTCCGCTGGTGGCTCTGAAGATGGCTGACGAGAGCGGAGACCTCTCTGTACGCTCACTTTATCACCTGCTCTTTAACCTGGGCGGAGTCATGAAGATCAGCATGAACACACTCAAGTGCCTTACCTGTGCGTGTTTACGGAGTAGAACTATCTCACCTGACTAACACACACACACACACACACACACAAAATCCTTTATCAATCCCTCCCCATTAGTCAATCATACAATCAACGCAAGGATATGTGAAACATTAGTTATTTTATCTGTAAAAATGCTGTATATAATTGTTATAAAATTCTCATACTGTAACTCAGACACTTTTTTAGGCCTGTGCAGTCTAATCCTACGTTCACACTAACAGGCGACAAGTCCCTCGTTTCGCTTGGAGTTTTTCTCGTGTGTGTAGCAGCGCAACTGTTGTTAAACACATATTAAATAACACACTAATCAGTGTGAAAATCAGTTGTGTGATTAACATGTTACATGCTTGGATTCGTACTAGCTTCATTCTTTGCTAATTAGATTAGCAAAGCGATCTAACTGTACTAGCTACGTACACACACCAGAGGCATCGATCATCTCTGCTACTTCCTTCCAAGCTTTATTTTTCTTTGTAATGTCTCTATAGACATTTAATGAGAGGACGTATAGGACAGGACAAGATGAAACCACGGTTATAGGTTTTTCTTCCAGTTTTGCGTCACTGCAGTAATTTGGAACTAGTCTGAAGTAGGAACTAAAGTTGTGAGGAAGGAACTGAAGAAACATCGGACCACGTTGGATTTATCGCCTTGCATTATAATACCTATAAACTACGCGTGGAGCCGAGAGAATCTCAGTTCAAACTTCATACTGTCTCTTGCTAGCGTGATCCTACAGTAAAGCTTTGTATACTTGTTTCATTCATTTCTTCATCTAAAAGTGAGATTAATAACATAATGAAGCTGAATATCTCATACAATTATAAGATTAAATAATAACAATCATGCTCCATAATACACCACGTGTTTACTAGTCCTTTATTGCTGTTTTACACTCATTCAGTTCACAGTTTTGATACGTTACACTGGGGAGATTGTAAAGCAGTATGATGATACAGTATGTTATGATATATGGTATAGATGTATGATATGCTAAGTCAGGTTAATGTGTGTTTATGTCTGTATATTTGGAAAATAAAAAAATTCTGATTTTAATGGGTAATTTTTTTAAGGTGTTTATGACATTATTAAGATCTGGAGATGTGAGAAAACATGTAAGCTGGAGAACGACTTTGTGATTCGTATACTGACTTATGAAGTTCCCTCACTGCCAAAACGACAGCGACCCAACACTTTGTTCATGTCTACTGTTGTTCGCTAAAAAAAGTTTAAAAATCTGATTCTCAGATGTAGTTTGTTGGTGTATTAGGTGTAATATCTACCAGTCCTCTGGGTGTGTGTCATTCATTCATTCTGCTTGTCTGACTAAATAAAATAAGTCTCTATGAATGCCTTCTTGTCTGGATTGGTGAGTGACATTAGACACTGGTCAAAGTGAAAGCTGTGTGAAAATATACTAAAGTAAATACATTACAGTTTCACTAACATAACTGCACAACTAAACTAAACGAACTCTTGATGCATTGAAACAACAGAGAGAACAAGAGGACCATCAAAAAGGCAAAGATGAAAATTAGACATTGACAAAGCACTGTGCAGAACTTTTGGCACTAAAGGAAGCTCATATATTGTAGTATTAATGACCTGATTAATAAAAGAATTTCTGCAAAAATCTGCAAAACTCTGACCAGAGACTCGGCTCAGCTAGTTAGCGATGTACGAGATGACGAGCGTGATGGCGTGATGGCGTTGATGGAGGTATTGGGATGACAGTTGAAGCTTTGGAAGCTGATCTGTTTGAACAGAGTGTACAGATGAGGAGCTGAGAGCTGGACAGACTAAAGCCCCGCTGCATCATGCTCTTTAGATAGAGATGACGTGAGGGCTAAATCCCAGTGCACCACTATCAGCAGGGCATTGTGGGTAATGTAGGAAAACCATTCAGGAAAGTTTAAACTCAAAGTTTCATTTCAAAATAAATATTGAACGCTGCTGAAGATCACATGTTAATGATAAAGATTAAAATGCAAATCACTCAGAGTGAGGCTGAATTAATTTGGAAAAGGGAGATCATGTGGATTTGCGATTGTGTGATCTGTAATGCTTCATGAGGTGAGCTGATTGTCCGAAACTCTTCCCACACATCACACACTGGTACGGTTTCTCTCCGGTGTGTGTTCTCTGGTGCTTATTGAGCGTGGATGAATCGGAGAAGCTCTTCCCGCAGGTCAGACAGACGTACGGTTTTTCTCCCGTGTGGATTCGGAGGTGAGTTTTCAGCTTGGAGGCTTGAGAGAAGCGTTTTCCACACTGGCTGCACAGGAAGGGTTTTTCTCCAGTGTGTGTTCTCTGGTGAGACGTCAGGTTGAATAACTGCGTGAAGGTTTTCCCACAGTGACTGCAGTGGAACGGTTTCTCTCCAGCGTGGAGCTTCTGGTGTTTGAGGAGATTGAACTCTAAAGTGAAGCTCTTGTCGCAGATGGAGCAGCGGAACGGCCTGTCAGAGAGTTCCTCACAGGGGAGCTTCGAGTCGGGAGGTTCCAGTTCCTTCACTCTGGTTTTGTTAGATGCGCTCCTCGTATCAGCTAGGTCTTCATAAAGAAATGAAAAAAAGGAACAAAAACCTACAGTTAATCACAAATCGGTCTATATAATAAACATGGATGCATAGACAGGAAGGAAGGTTATAGATGAAACGTGCGGAATTTCTGTTTATGTTCTCCACATGTCCATGTGGATTTCCACAGTTTTATAACCTCGCACTCAGCGTTCCCGGGGTAGACTCCGGATCCACCACCACCACTCGGCCCAGATAAAGCGAAGACAAATGAACTGTATTCACTGAGAATAAGTGTTTTTTCATCTGGTTTCCTACCAGAGATGATTAAACATTCACATGAATGGATATCAGTACTCCAGAAAATACATAGCTTTCCAAAATTCAATTCCATCCAGAGTGTGCATACCTCACTCCACCAAAAGCCTGGCTCTTCTGATTTATTATGCTAGAACCTTCGCTGTCATCGTGAAGAGAACTTACCATAACTCTTAAAATCATCAACTTCATTGTCTTCATGTTCTTCTTTCTTCAGACTCGGTTCCTCGGTCATATGTGTGATGTCCGAGTTCCTGCAATCCAGCCGCTGCTCTGAACACGTCTTAACGCGAGCGTGTAGTGTGTGTTCATCAGTGTGTGTGCGTGTAGCGTGTGAGATTTCCATCGGCTCAGGTTCGCTTTTAAAAACAACAACAACACGAACGTCCTCCACCCGTGTGAGTGTGTGTAGGTCTTCACGGTGGATGTGTGTGTGATGTGGTTCAGTTTTACACTCGGAAGTCGAACAGAATTCCGGTTTCAGTGTGCAAATTTCCTGCTGCTCCGTTAGGACAGGATTCACTTCAGTCTTCAGTTCGGGACACAAAACTGCCTGCTGAAAAATGAGAGTATAAATATTTATTTTTTAAAAATTATATTATATATTAAAAATATAATCATTTAAACATATGAAAAAATATAAAAATTATTTTGAAAACTTATTTTAAATTAAATAAAAATACTTCCTTAAAGTACATTCCCCTCCAAAAGTATTGGAACACAAGGCCAGTTCTATTGTTTTTGCTCCACACTGAAGACATTTGGGTTTGAGATCAGAAGATGAATATGAGACGATAGACCAGAATTTCA